AGCTGCTTGGCAATTGCCCTGTAGCCCTTTCCAGCCTTGTGGAGGTCCACACTTTTGTCTCTGGTGTCTTTTGACAGCTCTTTGGTCTTGCCCATGGTAGTAGTTGGCGTCTGACTGACTGTGGGGTGGACAGGTGTCTTTAAAGAGTTCAGACAGGTGCTACTAATTTAGATTAATGAGTGGAGTAGAGGTGGACTTTTTCAAGGCACAGTAACAGGTCTTTGAGAGCCAGAATTCTTGCTGTTTCTCAGGTGTTCAAATACTTATGTTCAGCAGTGCAAGACAAATAAATTCTTTAAAAATCATACAATGTGATTTCCTGAATTTTTCTTTAATTCTGTCTCTCAGAGTGGGAATGCACCTACAATGTGAATTTCAGACCCCTCCATGATTTCTAAGTGGGAGACCTTGCAAAATCGCAGGGTGTTCAAATACTTCTGTTCCTCACTGTAGGCTATGAGTTCCGTTTTACTTTGAAGGAGGTAACATTCATGGCTCACGTTTAATACGATATCACACACCCCTAAAGTAGTGTGAGCTGCCTCTGGTCAGCAGCACACAGAAGCTATTTTACTAAGTTGGTTTACTCTATTTACGGTTCCTGTGAGGCGTCCTATTCATATCTACTTAAAAATAAAAATCACCCTAACATTCCTCAGGTGTGCGATGCAATGATATGTTCTGTTCATGTTCACATTCATGTTCTGTTGTTGTTTATGCCATATGTGCACATGTAAAAAAAAAGCCCCTTATGGAAAAAGACACTCATCCTTTTCAAATAGCGTTGCATATTAAATCTTGTACGTTAACAGTGGTCGGTTACTGGACAGGAAAAAAAAACTGAAAATGTGCACAGATTGTCTTTAGTGTAGACTGCATAACAATTGCTGGTCTGTAGTAAGAGCTCATTGCGGTCATCTGGTGAAGCCACCGATTCACTGTGACCTATGGCACAGTTCTCTGCAACACATCAGTATATTGTGCAAACTCAGCTTTTGGTGGCCAAGGTCTGTATTTGAATGTTCTACAATTTGGCCATAAATATGGTCATGAATGGTCTTACCGATAAGGAAACAATATAGTGGCCCAAAGCCAATTTTTCATAAGCCACAAATGTAATAAGTGCATGAAAATCATTTAAAATAAGCTGCAGAATGCCTGCCCATAATAATAATAATAATAATATTTGAGTAAGGGTGGCACAACGGCCTGGTGCTTAGCACTGTTGCCTCACAGCAAGAAGATTCTGGGTTTGAGCCCGGGCCGGCCTGGTGCCTTTCTGTGTGGCGTTACATGGAGTTTACTCCAGCTTCCTCCCACAGTCCAAAGACATGCAGCTTAGTTTGACTGGTGACTCTAAACTGCCCATGAGTGAGTGTGAGTGTGTGTGGTTGCTTGTCTACATGTCAGCCCTGTGACCGACTGGTGACCTGTCCAAGGTGGACCTCACCTCTCACCCAAAGTTAGGTGGGATTGGCTGGATGGATGGATGATTTGAGTATGACATAAAAACTGACACTGGAGTTTCCAGATTTGCGTTGGAGTTTGCTTCTGTGCAGCTGGGCCTTGTCTGGATAACCCTGCCACAGTGTGAACACCATGCTACCAAACACACTTCCTCAGCAGGAGTTTTTGTTTTTGTGAAGAATGTAGGATAAGAAAGGGGTGAAAACAAAAAAGATAAGGCCTCATGATACTGTTCTGCTTTCAATAAGTCTACTACTTTGAATTCATGTTGTAGCTTAAGCTGCACAATACATTAACATTTAGCAGTTGCTGAAAATAAATTAGAGATTTAAAAAAATTAAATTAATTAATTAAAGATGTAGAGAGAAAATGTGCCTAATTTCATTTTAGCCACTACTTTATTTGATGGATAATGTTTACTCTCTCTCTACAGACGACATAAACCTGTGGTATGGTCTTTTATGATCCTTAACAGAACACAAGGGTTAAAGGAAAGAGCACAAACTAAACCGTTTCTGAAACTGAAAGGGTTTGGTTAGTATTTTTTATTTTGACTCAGTGTATAATAATCACCAAAAGGAGATCCTTATTTTTATTCACCACTGCATCACAAGTTATTGTGTCAAATACTGTGAAACTGCAACATGACATAAGAGCATATGTAAAAATCGCCATTTAATCTCTAACAAATTGCAATATTCACATAAAGGCCTGGGGGCAAATAAGGATGTTAAGTCATCTGCTAAATACATGCTGGTTCTACTAGTCATACATAGAGTATACTCAAAAGACTAGGCAATCATTCAGTGGTGTAAATTCAGGTTCTGTGGTTCTCCCTGGTGTGTGTATCTGAGTACATCAGCCACTACTTGCTAACTCTCTGTCATTTGGTAAAGGTCAAGTCGTTGTTCTGCCCTCTGTTTGAGTGCATTTGGTTTGTTTATTGTGAGTCATGCAGCACTGCCCCCTGTGGGTTATACGGCAGCAGTAATCTTGAGAGAAAGTTAAGTCAGACTTTGTAGCCTGAAGGTTTATGTTGCGACGATCCGTTACTTGTCAGCGTTGTGCCTTGGACATCATTCGTCTGTGAGTATTGTGTAGCCGGGTGGAAATGCACCTGTTAGACTTTGATATGGAAAAAGGGTGCTACCGCTTTTAGAGAAGTAACCCTGGGAACGAAGAGGATACTGGGTATCGATCCAGTGGATTCTGAGAAACTAAAAAGCCATGTGTGTTCATCTGACTGAACATCTGTACCAGTTGTTGAAGGTAAATCTTGTACACCGCGAGTTTGTAATAACCGAATGTTAAGTTGCCAGTCGCCTAAGAGTGTTGTGTATACGTAGTTCTGTAAGTTTCATTTGTTTATATCGATGCATATGTTGGATGTTTACAGATCTTAGTCCCAGCGTGTGACCTGTGGGATTTGCGGAGTGTGTCTGAATCGATTACTGCAGACGGACTTTCTGTACAGTTAGGTTTTATTTTAACTCCGCATCCACTATTATGTTTTAGGCTAGCAGGAGAAATGTTACATTTCTGATGTCTAATGTATGTGCTCTTTGTTTGTTTGTACAGTGAGCCATCACAGTTATTTCTGGATTCCTTACTTCAACGGAAGAGTATTTTGTGTTGTACTTCAAGTCAAGTTGTAAACGTCCCCCACCGAATGAGAGAGGGACAGGGTTGACTGTTGTTTGATTCATTGTTTTGGTCATTTTATATTTTTTGGAGAAAACCCCAATTATTTATATTCGGAATAAAACACCCAAAAGACATTGTTGTGTCCTGCGCTGGTTTAATTTCACCAGGCCACACAATGTTTAGCTGTTCTGTAGATATTATGAGGAGGAAGTTACTGGGATGAGGTTTGTTATGAGCCTATTATTAACACTGCTAGCTGTTTAAAGGCTATGTTGAGCAGTGAGACTGTGTTGTGCTCATTTCCGTTTGTCATTTGTGTTTTGTTGCAGTTTACAAATAAATAAATAAAAAACAAATAAAGTAATTCGCCAGTGAATAACAAGAAACGTCACGCCTTGGTTTTATTGGGGAATTCCACCCTGTAAGATGACTGTCTAGCTTTGTTACAGTAAAGTCATGAGCTATAAAACCAAAACAATCAAATCAAAGATGCTAAAAATCAGCACATAGATGAGAGGGATCTGGGTGATCATTCCCTATAGTTTCATTAGTAAATCATTGAATGAGAACCTAAATAAATCTATTAATCTGATCCATTGTTAATATATAATATTCATCACAACAACTTTAAGA